ACGGACTGCGTGAAAAGCAGAAACTCCTAACCCGTTTATTAAGTTTCTGATCATGAAATGTCAGTGAGTTGTCAAACAACCCTGCACTGTGCGAAATCTAGTAAATAACTTGTCCAAACCCAGGCCAATTGCATTGGACATCGAACGTTCCGTGTTAAATTACGTTAGCAAACGGCGTTTGATACTGTCGCCTAGTCATTTTATTGCGGGTAAATACGGCTTTTATTGCACTGTTGACCCAGGTGTTACGGGCTAAAAAATTCAATGGTGATCTTCCAGGGAAATTACCAGCTAAGACAAATATGAAAATGATCCGGTTATTCGGGATCAAATGACTTGGAAAAGGGTCGAGTTTCATTTGTTTCACACAAAATATCTTTTTTCTCGTGTTTTTAACATCATTGTATAATTTTTTTGTGTGGTAAGTCGATTTTTTCTTCTTCGATGTTTATCGTACGTCTCCTTGTGTTACCATTCAGAAAAATTACCGCGAAACACTTTCCTTTGGCGCCATAATTTTGTAAAACGGGATGTATCTCTCTTTTCACTTTGACAAAATTCTGAAGTGTAAACATTTAAATGAACGCTATTATAGCAAAACCTTCCTTCGATACAAACTCCTTACTCTTCATTTTCAATCTACATATTTTTAATCTTGTTCTTGAGTGTATTTTATAATATATATACTTCACAATATTAAGATAAATAAAAGTAGTTTTTCCCATAGCATTTAAGCTGGTAAAAACGGACGAAGATCCTTCAGGACGGTGAAAAAGAAAAAAAATTCTGCACAAATAATTTCGCTTTAGTAATTCTAGTTTCACTCCAGCTAAAAAATTCTTGCCTCGTTATTTATGTAAAAGCATAAAGTTCTTGCACCGTTTGGGACACGAAAAATTTTTCCCACAAAGTGGATAGACTCAAACAAGATAGTGCGAGTAATCAATTAAGACTGATTCCCAATTAATCCCTTTCATTTAAGCCGAATAAAATCCATTTTACAAGATTCAGGCTTGCGAGTAATTCGATTTTCAAAATGCGATAATAATTATGAGAACCTAACATGTGGCAATTGCACTCATTTCCGCGAGTATACGGCCCTTTATTTCATTCATTCGATGTGTTTTTTGGTACTCTGCGGCTTTAGTTTGCGTTTTAAATTTGACCTCCGATTTGAAAGGGTCCCACAATGGGACGCTTCGTATTCATTTGGTCCTTGTATTATTTCCATGGTAGAAAATTCCCACGAATAAATTAGAAAGTAAATGAGCGAAAGTGGTTTTGTGTTGGAATACTCAATAGGGGCTTCCGTAATGGCTGCTTTACGATGGCGTTTAGTACTTTGGTTAAGGGCTCGCTGTTACGAGTGACTGACACAGACTGTCGGAAATAATTTAATCCTTACGCTTATAAGGAACTGCTGAAGGCTTTTCAGCCGGCTAAAAATCGACTAATTTTGCCATTGACTTTCTTATGATCAACCCTTCGAAAGATAGAATCAAACGTTAAACTGAAATTGATGTGTATCTGTTTCTGATTGACTCCAAGAAATGCTAAAGTACGACCATTAAGATTAAAAGCTAGTGTCGATTATATCACATCGCTATGTTTTAAGACTCGAAAACGGCGGTTTTATGACTGACGGACGTTCTTGCAAGAAGTGCATGAAAAGGAGATAAGAGATAGTTGAGGGTCATTTGGCTGAAGTTGTTCATTCAGTAGACAATTAAATGTGCTGATAAAAGTTCAAACGTAACAATAAAAAGGTTAACCAAAACACGTTTTTAATAAACGCCGATGATAAAACACGAGGAGAATGTACTAAGCAAATCAAATACGTAGCTGAGTACGGGTGCATGTGATTCGTTTCCTAAATCATTAAAAAGTATTGGCGTTAAAAACTTATAAAACATCTTCAGATGAGAATTTTTAATGATCAGTCTAAGCACGAAGTACTCACAAAAATAAGTAAAAATGATTTATATTAGGTAAACCATTTTCGCCCCCCTCCCTTTTAGAGACGAAAGAAGAAGAGAAAAATTGAGTAAGCCAGAAATATCGTTTCTTTTATCAGTTCTTTTCTCGGTGACTGTTTGAGAATCAGTTGCAAATTAAAATTAACATCCGTTATTTCAGAAGAAGAACTTGTGTTTATTCGTCTAGTAAGAAATGACGGATAATTGCAATAGCCAAATGAAATTCAAATAATCCACAAAATGGTGTCTAAATTCGTTAAAATTCTGTTAAGTTCTTGTAAATTAAAAATTATCTAATTTCAGGAGCGAAAGTTTTGTTGATTTGTCAGCTGGTACATCACAATTTTTGAAGAACACTTGTGTTAGTTTATGAATTAGAATTTTGACACAAAAAAATGGCTGGCGAGCAATTTGGTTGAGTTTAGAAGGGTTGACAAAATATCGTTTTTGTATAAGACTCGCGCAAAATGATAGTCAAATTTGAAGGGTCTCGAAGTTCCTTTTTTCCTCATTGCTTCCCCTGAGGTTTCGGCGCGATGTTTGACAAGTATGAGGAAAGCACCAACTCCTGATGTGATGTTTGTTTATTGAACTTGCAACTCACAAATCGACGAGAAAGGTGCCTTCACCTGAAGTCAGCAATTTAGTTGACGGCCGTTGAAGGACAAGGTAATCTTTTTAGCAGTCTGAGAAGAATCTGAGAGTCTAGGGTTCGAATTTTACAAGCCAAAATTCTGTGAAATTCTCACGTTTAAAAGACACCTCAGCTCACCCTAAAAATCCTCCGATACTTGCCGCATTCGATACTTGTATTAAAGATATTTTTTTTGCAAAATGTTTAATGCAAGCAGTTCTTTAAAACCGAGCGGAATACGCCTGATGAGATAAACATTTGGAAAGCTAGAAAACCAAGAGTACGTGTTCAAAATTTAACTTTTTTTAAATTCAATCCGCGATTCTCTGAAAAACAACCAAACGGAAGTAAACAACAATTAATTCTGTAGGTCTCCGTCATGTTTCCAAATAGTTACTGAAAATATTTCAAACTACAATCTTCAGATAATCATGCAATTTAATTACCTTGTCCGTCTTTGTTTCAAACGAAATTCTCAATCGAAAGTCATGACCACAAGATACTGCATTCGACTACAATTTACCCGTTTAATGGCCATATATTTGTCGGTCGGATCATGGCCATTTTTCAGGGAAAACCTTTTTTGCGTTTTTATTACTTTCACCTGTCCACAAAAATCCAGCTAACAGCCGTAATTGTATAGTCAAAATATCCGTCTACAGCAGACAAAGGAAGGCTGATAATCGATCTTAGTCTTGCCATTATCGCCGACTTAACAAACTGACTATGAATGTTATATACTGACTCTATCAGCCCTAAAGGCTACATTGAGAATTTTCTGATCAATATTCTTAGTCTTCTTCTTCGATTTTGTTTCTTCATGGAGAAAAACTTCTCAAACGATCGCCAGTTAGGAATTTTTCTAAGTAGTATTCGAAAGGAAAAATAATAGATTGATGAGTCAACCGCCTGTTTTGCTTTTCTCGATGTGATGTAAGTGAACTCTGATTCAGATCAGTAAGATTCAGGGCCAAGTTTTTCGAAAGGTGGATAACGTTATTCGCTGAATATATCAGAATCGCTATCCAGTGGGAATGGTTACGTTTCCGCTGAATAGTGATTTATCTCAGTTGTGGATTGGGTAAAAAATTAGTACGGTGAAGTGGAGCAACGAACCAACTGTTGCCAGTTGTTGTCCTCGCGATGCAGAAAGACACCTAACGATTTAATGAAAATCAACGGAAGAAGGAATCGGCGAATAAGTTGCCCGTGTTTTTGCGATGTAGCGATGTAGTGTGACCTGACTTAAAGAACTCCATTATTTCACAATTTACAGCAAGGTTTTTACAGCTTTGAAATGAAATTGAGCAAGAAAATTTTGAGTGTAACTCACTGTCTAATACTAGGACGTTTCGTTTCAATGGCGTTTCGTAACTTTGTTCATTATCTCGGCATTGATAACCCCTGAAACAACAAAATTGTATTTCTTTAAATCTCCCTTATTCACAAGTCACGGTTTGTCAGAAAAGATTAAGATTCAACATTCAACATTCAAGTTTGTTTCGTTTAATAAGGACCAAATAACTCACATCGGAGGTAAATACGTATTTACAAGGTGCTTTGCTAAGTGATTTATCCCCGAGATAAAATTTTACATTTGCTCTTCGGTAACACCTATGACAATTATTTTTTATCAAAGTTCTCAGTTATAAACTGCACTGCGAAGGTCCAGTATCAGTTATTTTTTCATTATTCTGGGCCTAGCAATGTTTTACCCATGTAACATGCAGTGATGTTACCGAGTTAAACCTCACGTGTGAAAAGCGCTCGAAAAAAAAATTAATTTTCCTATCACAGATAATGACGTTTGCGGCCACTAATTGGGTTGTTGAGATGAGTTAACATTTGTTTAGTTACTGTCACCAAACAAAACGCCTCGACTTGTTGCTCTGTTTAAGTTTTGACATCAACGTGGCAGTTTATTCTATGTACAGAACCACTCGTCTTCATCACTAATCAACGAAACATCATTAGGTGTCTCGCATTAAACAGAGATATCTTTAGGCCGTTGAAAAATACGGCAATTTTCACTTTTTCAATCCCAACATAATTCCCATGTATGAGTCAAAATTCAAGAGAGTTTCTCATAATACTGAAAATAACTAGCACTTAAAAAATTACTGGCGAAGACGTTTCATCGCAAAGGGTTTTATTCGGACTCCAACGTAAGAACTATGATATACTTGCATGTCTCCGCGGGAAAGGGTAAGATCGAACTAAATCAGATTTTACGAACAATTTCAGTTTATACATTGCGGAGTATAAAGAAAAAGGACTTGCGAAAAAACCTTGTTTGCAGTGTCATTTTTCTAGAGCCAGTAACAGTCAAACTCACTTGAAGACAATAAATTTACATTCGACCTAAATAGAAAGCTTAACACAGCTTAATTCTACATCCCAGAATTATGCGAAGTTAGCAGGACCTCGTGCTCCTTAGCTCTCCGCCGAAGGGCGGCGATGCTCGAGCTTCGGATCTTTTCAAAATACTCCAAATCTCTAGCGCTGTGCTCGTTATCATCAAGCGAATAACCATGTCCGCATCCCTTAAAGGGGCCTTGATACTGCTCTGGGAATTCCATTTTTACCATGGGCTTTAATCCGCCGTTTTCGTCTTCCGATGTTTTCTTTTCAGCGGTTTGAAAATGCCCTACCAGCCCCACACTGCATCTTCCAGCTTCCTTTTTTATGTTCTTCTCCTCGTCTTCCTTCTCTCGGTTCTCATCTTCTTGTTGGTCTGTTTCTTCGCCATTCTCGGAATCTTTCTCGGCGTCTTCACTATCTTTCGCTTTCTCTCGTTTTCGCCACTTTGCGCGTCGGTTTTGAAACCACACCTAAAATAATAAATGTAAGACGAGACACGTCAGTTAAGTTTAATGATATCTTAGGTATCTCCTTGTGGTATCATGCGAGGTTCTTTATTATATTAACTTCCTTAAAAGAAATCTGCGGTTGAAAACATGAGTAACTATAGTTCAAACCAAACAATGACCTTTTTAGATTTTGTTTTTTAATTTGTGCTTACATTGCATGCGGTTTCCTTAAAAGTTATTAACCTCTCGTTTAGCAAATGTTTCGATACTTTAAAACAAAACTTAGCGCATTCATTAAGTCTTTTTTATGTGGAAAGATGAGATAAATAAAATATTACGAAGTAATTATTCCTTTCTTGCGAATAAATGGCCTTCGTGGCAGGAGACAATAAAAGGCGACATTTGCTTGATAAGAACAACAGAATTTGCATTTTAACTGATCGCTTGTCAATTTTGGTTTAGATAACATTTATCCATTCCTGTTAAACGATGTAACTGTTTATTGAGGATAATCCTTCAAAAAAGATATTCGCTACCCATTAAAAGCCGTTAGAAGTTTACGTAGACCATTTTCTGTTTAACGAGTAGAGTTTCTTTTTATTTACGATTTTCAACGAAGGTAACACATTGCGCAAGGCTGAGAGAGTGACATTTGGTAACGTATTTCAGTTCATCTTATTAAAAAAATTTTCTAATTAAAATGAAATAAAGAAGAATGGGAAAAGCGTGGCAGGTATTGATTCTGGACACAGTAACACAAGAAATGGATGCCGCAAGCATCGGATAAATGTTCGTCGTTGACAATGAGGCTCATTACAGACAAAGGTGATATCCTCAAAGAGAGTGGTGAAGCGAGAAGTAGAGGAGAAAAAAAAGTAATTACTGATCTCGAATCGCAAATTAAAAGTGACAACCGCTGTGGTTAGTAATGAAGATTATGATCATGTTGATTTTATAGACTTTTAATTTGCGATTTCATTGTTGTCTTCTTGTTTAACATTCAACATAATTCTGAGTTTTCAGTGTGCGGATGCGATTAAACCGATACAGTGCGTCAGTGTTACTGACGCAAACTGAAAGTGACGGTCGGTGAATTGTAACGAGGAAACGCTATTCAAGCGAGTTCTGATTTTGTTTTGCCTTCACTACATCACCTCTCCTCCCACCTGTCGCATGAATGTAAGCGAAGAGGATATCAATCGACAACGTGTATAAACATAAGAACAACGCATTGAAACAGTTCAATAGCTCCTGAGTGACGCAACGTCAAAATTAACAGACAAAATGTGTAGTTTTCCCTCTATCTTTTTGACCGCAGGAATATTGTTTTCTGTTCTTATTAAATTCTATCAATGTTTTGACTGTTTCTGTCTTAAACGGTTTAAAGAAGAACTTTGTTGAATTTGATACAATTGTTTTTTTTTTCACGGTTAGAACACAATGTTTCTACCCTACGTACGAGCGCCTTGACGGTTGTGAAGCCTGCTTTAAATACCCTAAGGGGATACATCACATATCTAATTCACGAATTAAAGAAATAATCTAATGCTGTCCAGAGGAGCTTTCTCCCCTTCCGTCAACTGAGCCAACTTTTTTTGAACTTGAAAACCATATGATAACGCTGTTTTGACAACAATATGTATCAGAGTTCAGATTTAGGAAACAGCAAATGTTGAAGAGATTTCCTATTGTGACTAACCAGTGATGCACAAAAATGACGTAGGTGAAATTGCTTGCTGTATGGTGGACTTGATCTTGCGGAAAATACCTGTTACCTTTGTACCATAGTAAAGGCGCGAAACACAAATTGAAGCTGAATGGTTAAGCAAAAGTTAAAAGTTAAAATTATTTTCGTAACTAACATTACCTGAACTCTGGCTTCCGTGAGATCAAGCCTTAATGCAAGAGCTTCGCGCATGAAGACATCAGGGTAGTGAGTCGTTGTAAACGCTCGCTCAAGCTGCTCCAACTGCCACGGACTAAAATTTGTTCGAACTCGCATTCGACGAGGTTTGTGTGGTCGCAAATGATCCAAAAATCGCTGGCCTATAAAGGACAGAAAAAAAGAAAATAATAAGTGATTTAAATAAAAGCATTTGTCACTATATATATTTTTAACGGATGGGGTGTAACTCATGAAATTTTGGGCTACGAGCGTGGGGGCTTTCTCGTTCTGCTTTCCGTTTCCTTCTTAATTATTATTATTACTTCTCTGCTATATCTGGGTCAAACGAATCTGACTGAGATATCAGCAGGAACTTTATCGGTGATCTTTTTCTAAAATATTAAGTGGATGTGCTTCATTTTCATTAAAACCTGCGAAGATAACTGATAACTGGCGACAACACATCTCTTATTAGCCTCCGATGAAATTTAGACATTTAGTCTTTTTAAAGAGTTTCAAAAAAAACATATGTATAAAACGTATTCATAAGCTAGATTAAACTTTTGCTTGCTCGAGCTCCCCTCTCTTTACGAATTTCTTATTACCGTGAATTCTTTTTTTTTAAAACCGATAACTTGTTCAAGCCGACGAAGTCAGAGTCCAGTTTTGTCATCTTATCGTTTGAAATCTTTCGTCGCGAACAGGTACTGCTCAGTTTTTGTTCACAAAACTACGGCAATTAAAACAATATTAATATTGTTCTTTAATTCTGTTTTTTATTTCAAGGCCTTTTGAATAATACTCTGCATTTTAAATATTTTCCCTGACCCTTCGTTACTAAGAGGCGGTTGAAAGACGGAAAGAGAATCTCGAAAACAAAGAAGCTTTTACAGCAATCTCCACGGTAAACTCTCTAAATCTCCTTTATCGCCTAAGATAATCCGTGAAAAAATCGCCGTGTTTGCTTACTGTTTTCTCTTTGTATCTGATCGCAAAGTCATCTCGAGTTGTTGATAACGTGTTATCGGTCACAAAATTGTCAGAACAAATTAGTTAATACGATTTTCGACCACACTAACAGCTATCTAATGTATCCAAAAATTATGTATAAAAAACCTAGCCTTAAGATTAAAAAGCGCTGTTCGCGTCATTTAAGAAGGGGATTTTCTCGTTAAAATGTTTTCTATGTACTTGCCTTGAAAAGCAGCGAGTTGCAGTTGAGGATCCACGTAAGTAGTCGGATGGTAAACGCAAGGGACTTCGTATGGACGCCCAGTGTATGAATGATAAGGAAGATAACTTGGAACACTGCAACAGGAATCGGCGTAAGGCAAACTACTTGGACCGCCAGAGATTGCTTGACCACGGGCAGACATCATCGCGTAGTACGGCGACTGAAAATATGCACGATGTCCTTGTAAGTTACTTTCCATGACTCATAAAATGGTTAACTACGTAGATGTACACCAGGTAGCGCGGTTTAAGTTATCTAAAACGGACGGACGCTTGGCTTGTTGTTGGTTTGAAGAGGTGCGCGGTCAAATGGCTAATTCCAAATGTAAGACTGCGGCGATATTTAAAGCCTGCCTATTATTTTTGCTAATGGAATTATACAATGAATTCTGAAGTGTATTCTTTGCTCATCCTGAAGTTTGCAAATCAAATAACTATTCAATCAACTGGTCATAATATAATACAAAGGCCTTTAAGAGTGGCTACATTTTATGTCCTGGCTTCCTATTGGTTCTTTTGGCGGACCGTCACTAAGTTTCATTCTAGCATCAGAAATTCGGGACTGGAAATTCGTTTGCCTAATTAGCGATGGGGTCATTGAATTATCCCTGTTAATAACGCACAACTGGTAAGCCAGCGAAATGTTCCCAAGCTTCTACCAGCGAAGAGCGTTTGGCATGAACCAGTTAGCACTGGCGAGCTGTCATTGCTTGAATGTAGATTCGAATCGCTAGCCATTTTAGGGCAAACACTTCATGTTGCTATTTGAACTGTGGGAGGTCCTAAAAATTCACCTGCGCCGAGTATGCACAGCTGGTATCAAGCTCAGAGCTAATAGGATCATGAGTGATAGTTTAATGAATTATTCCCCATGTAATAAGAAGGCGTTAAATTAGAGGCGAAGAAAATTCGTCAACTGCATTGTTGAGCCTCTTGACCAACGAGAAATTTTCCACCGCCTGAACAAAGCCAGTTCGATCGAATGGTCACACGTTTCGAGTTTCGGCCTTCTACATCAACTTTAACTTCAACTTCAACTTAAAACGATCTTGACGACATGAACGACGCAAATTTGAATGCTAAAAGGCGTATTTTTTTGTGCGGTATCGATGTGTTGTCAGATTGTCATTTAAAGTCAAGTACGTTTGCCTTGTTCAAAGAATAGAACAACAACATGAGTAATGATTAATTAATTTACAGCCTTTTCATTTGGCAAGCTAGATGCATCGAAAAATAATTGCTTTTAATTCCTCATTTGCAGTGATCGCATGCATGATCGCATGTCCGTCTTCTATGACTTCTTTTCAAGGAATGTTAAATCTTCTGTCAAAGTGGTTAACTGTGATATAGTCGCAAATCATCAAACTGACTTCCGGATGTGATCATAAAGTATCGCTTCGCTTACGCCTATTTGATATTTTTATGTATTTTACTATTTTTTTTTAGTTAAGTTAGTGAGACACCCAGTTTAGGTTGTTCTGTTTGCATTCACTCTGTTCAGCGTCTTAAGGCGTTAATTAAACTGCTCTACCAAGCATCTTCAAGAACTCGGTCATGAATTATTATAGACACCAACCCTGCGCTCTAATCTAAGACTGGTATATCGGCCAATTCTAATCGACACTGACGTATCACTGACAAGAAGACACCAAAAAAAGGCTGATAGAGCTGTAAACATGGTATCAAATTAAAATGACAGATGGATAAGAGGTGTTTTCAGCAACAAAAAGAACTATTTTTGTGATTTTTCTCAATAATTTGCCAACCGTTTGTTTAATAGTGATCGCCTGGAAAATTAAAGAAAGAAATTCGTTTGTGAACCATGTTTGCCCCGAGCGGCTAAAGTTTCATTTTCTTACTACAAGATAACTTAATTGCGGAAGAACAATACTTATTTTTTTTCTAACGTTATCATAGATTTTGCCATAGTAAACTGAGGATTTTGAGGTTGAAATTGAAATACAGAAGCAGAGTGTTTCATGTTTCTGTAGTGCAAAATTCATGCAAAACTGTGAAGATCATATTCGAAACAGCGCTGAGTCTATTTAAACAATACTACGGAACTTATAACGTAACTGTCCTTTTGCTCATTCAGCTTTTACAGGATTAGGTTTCAACGACGAAAGTTGATACAAAATTAAATTTTTCAGAGTTATCCGTTTCAGCTGGGCAATCTGGTAGTCAGATATTCTAATTGTCTTTATGCTGAAATCTGAAATCACGTGACTGCAGTGTAAATTGTATTGGATCGAGTCTTGTAAGTTGGCTCCCAAAATGATTTTTTTTTTCCAAAATGGACTTTTGGATTTGAATGCCCCTCTTTACTTGTGTTCAGTACCTACTCATCGAATACTAGCGCTATTTTAACTTCTTAAAACCGACTTGTTCAAGGAATAAAAAATAAGAAGAAAGATGAAAGATTTATAACACAACGTTTTGCGGTCCTCATGATTCCATTAGCAAGTGAGATGTAGCTAATATTACAATCGAATAAATGCAAGAGATGAGAGATTTGTTCGATTGTAAGACTTGATAATGGCGTTATGAGGATTCCGAAAAGTCGTGTTATAAATATTTCATTTTTCTTCTTAGTTGCTTTGTTTCAACTCTGCTTATATTGTCTCTTCCTCTTACACATACACACACACAAACACACAAGCTAGTATCTAAAGCGCCCATCAGATGGGCTTTCTTTCATTTTTCAGATTTGAATAGTATACAGGTCTTTATATAAATACGATTAAAACCCATTCGCTCCTAGAGTGAATGATGGACTCTTGTAAGGTGGCTCTTTGCGTATGAAATCTTATGGTGTTTCGTTAAAGCCAAATGAATTTTTTTCAGCAGTATTTGCACTTGGTACATTTGTTTTTCAGCATTTTATAGAATAATATTTGACAAATTTTTGTCGAATCTTGACTTTGGCCACTTCCTAGAAATTGACAAAAAAAGTGAAAATACGGGCCCATAAGTATCAATGAGAAGATTGTCAGTGACGCATAAAAATATGTAACAAAGATACCACCCGCCTACTGTATCCTGTTGGATCTTTACATGCCGTTTCAACACACATAATCTATATATAGATATACCAGAAGTACAAGGTTTTATCAACTGAAGATTTGACTAGGCATTTTATTACAATATAGTTTCGTATTACATGATGGTGTAGCACTCTTCAGATAAAATAGCCTAATGGTAGACTAGAACAGTATGAGACTATTGCTATCGTGTAGTTCGAAACTATATTTAATAGTAATAAAATGCCTAGTCAAATCTTCAGTTGATACAACATTGTACTTCTGGTATTCTCGCTCTAGTCCTTTTATTGAGCACTCTGACAGCAGTTCTGCATCAGGTGAAATCAACTATATATAGATATAGATTTTTTTTGCAACAAAATGATTTCATCAACATATCCCACGCGTGTGGCTGAACCTTTTCATTTCTTTAGTGTACTTTAATACTACCTTTTTTATGTTTTTGCCTTGGCTTTTTTGTACCTGAACAAGAAACGTGTGCTGGCATTGCAGCCTTTCTTACGACAAAATCTCAGAAAAACGTTGCATTTGCTAGGTGGAATGGCTGAAATCCTCTCACAAAAATATATTTGAGAATATTCAAAAATCAATGCGATATTAATTTAGTCATTATCTCCTAGGAGGTCATACAATTAAGAAATACTTTGGTGACAGCTGATCCGAAATCTTCTTTCTTATACAAAAGAAATAATTTCAAGTCGTCCCTGTATAATAGTAAATTGTATCAATGATAATGATCTACGAAAAGAGCACCGACGAGTGACCAAATGACATGCAGTTTTAAAAGAAATTAAAGGATAGTATTTGTCAACTTGCACATATTTCTCCCGCATGAAACATGAGTTTACGGAGGCAGTACCAGGAGTATTATTCTTCCCATTTTCTGATCAAAAATGTCCTTAA